CTATATTAAGGCTGGAAAAGTATTGATTGTTTAGGATTTCAGAAGAACTTGATAAAGAAAGGTCTGAAAAGTTTCATCTGCACAAACCACGAGACTCCTGAAACAAAGACCAAAATATATTTGTATACCCAAAATGCACAGCACCAGTGAGAAAACCAAACATTTCTTATGGTGGCACTTTCAAGGGGATTGGTGACGCAGAGGTTAGAGAAGGTGGGCCAGCAATAAGGAGATCGCCAGTTCAACTCCCGGTACAGACAACATGAAAATGTGAGTGGTAAAGGTGAAGCACCCACACCTGCCTCTACCCTCATTTGCCCCACTCTGGGCCCTTGAGCAAGACCCTTAACTCCCACCAGCTGCTATCCCGGGCACCCCAGATGGCAGCTCCCTGCTCCACACAGAGTTCTGTGGTAGCTCGGTGGTCTGTGTTGTCAGGAAGGACATTCAGTCATCCCACAACTTAGTTTGCTATGGCGACCCCTGATGAAGGGAGCAGCCGAAAGAAAATTTAAAAAAAAAATCTTATGGTGGGACCTTCACAGTTCTGTACAGAAACCAACTCCCCAAACCTTTGTTGCACATTGCACAGGGTCTTATTATTATTTTTGTTCTTGTATTTAACATTGACAAACAAACAAACATACAAAAAAATATATAAATATATATATTTGGATAAACTGAATTAATGCTAGAAAGAAGTGTGGGCCAGAATTCCTCCACAACCACGTTACACCATTAAAGCACTGCAGAAAACCACTACTGAGCGTTATGGCTGCTGGACTAAGGGACACGTCTTTCATCTTGTTTTTGTGTTTTATAAATAGGATGGAATCTGCAGAGTGGTTTTGTTCACTTGAAATTAGATTATAATAATTTTAGTACCTGGTAAAAACCTTGGAACTGAACAAGTGTAACTTCTTTTACTATAGTAATTCCAGATGTGATGGAACTTCAGTGTAGCTCCCATCACATCTGTATGGATAACGTTATTAATGTTATACCCTGTTGTTAGCTCTGTGAAGGCTGAAGGACCACACACACAAACGTAACATCTGGATCCATCTGGTCTTATGAGGAGCTCACTCAGCACCATCTCGTCCACCCGGCCTGTCCTGCCAGTCCAGTTGTCAGATGGCTCAGAAAGGATGTACTCCACCTGAAACCTAACACACACACAGAGCATGAAAAACACAGCTGAGATGACATTCTTAAACATGTATGGCTTCTAACCCCCACATTAAAAATGTTACCAAAACCGCCTTCTACCACCTGTGTAATATCACTAAGATTCGAAACATCTGGTCTAAAAATGATGCAGAAAAACTGGTCCATGCATTTATCATGTCTAGGATATTGCTACTGTTTACTATCTGGATGTCCAAAAACTTCTTTAAAATGTTTTCAGCTGATCCAAAATGCTGCTGCCAGAGTCTTAATGAAAGTTGATAGGAGAGATCATATTTCTCCAGTTTTAGCTTCTCTCCACTGGCTCCCTGTCAAATCCAGAATAGAATTCAAAATCCTACTTCTAACCTACAAAGCTTTTTTTTTTTTTTTTAGAACTTTTTATTAACAACATTAAAACACATAATGCTTCTGCTGCTCCTGAGCCGCCCTGTCTCCACACATGGCCAGCGGAAGTAGTCTTTTTATTTAGCTCTAATTAGAACCTCAAGGCCACCTGTCAATCAATCCATTATGCGTGTCATCAACTGACCAATCGGCAACCTCAATTCATCCCGAAGGTAAATGCCCCTTACCTGCAGACATGCAGCCCATGGTCTGCAACATGGTCCCAACAGCTTACTCCAAAGTGGAACAAACCAGATATGTTGGTGCTAAAATGGTCTCTTTGGCACGCCCTCTTAGCAACAACATAACTGGTTTGTTCCACTTTGGAGTAAGCTGTTTGGGGGAAGAATCAGTTTTGTGTTGTGTGTTTCCTTGACTGATGAAGCCTTCTGGATGGAAGGTGAAACGTTTCAGCACAAAAAAAGAAACTGTCCAGATGACCTGACTGAAAATAGTTGGATTGTATACATGGACTATTGAGCATGGACTTTCTTGGTATTGAACCAGTTTGACATGACTGTCGACGAGGGAGAGGGCTGGCACCGGAGGAGGGGGCGTGCCAAAGAGACCATCTTAGAACCAACATAACTGGTTTGTTCCACTTTGGAGTAAGCTGTTGGGGGAAGATTCAGTTTTGTGTTGTGTGTTTCCTTGACTGATGAAGCCTTCTGGATGGAAGGTGAAACATTTCAGCACAAAAAAAAAGAAACTGTCCAGATGACATGACTGAAAATTGTTGGATTTGATAATGTTTTTATAGAAAAAATTCCTGAATGTTGTTCATACTGTTTTAATGCTACATGTTCGTCTCTTGACCCTACAACTGGGTAAGGTTATAGTAGACCTAGCCCATTACTGGAATGTTCAAGTTCAACTTCAAGGTTCTTTATTGTCATTTGCATCACATGTGGTACATGAGGAGGAACAAAATTGTGTACTCAAGGTCCCAGTTACACCCCAAAATAGCAAAAATATAGAGTATAAAAAGAAACAATACCTAAGGATCTAAGATATACAATAAGATATACGCTAAACACTAATAATGTAAAATAATATGGTATATTAAGCAGCAGCCCAAACATGACTTTGTAGTGAGTAGATGGGTATACCATACCATTTTATTTATAGAGCACTTAAAACAGTGACAAGGCCAATCAAAGCGCTGTACAGACAGAACAACAGACAACACACAAAGCAATATACAAAATAAGGTGAATCAGAATATAGACATAAAAACGATGCAGATAATAAATATGACGACAAACCAGTGTGGAGCATACAAGTTCAAAACACAGATCATCTGGTGTCGAATGCTACTGAATAGTAGTGAGTTTTTAAACAGGACTTGAAAACAGAGAGGGAGGGGGCCTGTCTGACAAGCTCAGTTGGAAGAAACGTGATTCAACAATCATGCTTACATGATTGTTAAGTTTCAGGGAAGGGCCCATTATCACTCCCAGATTAGTGACTCTTTGTTTTTCTGACAGGGTTAGAGCGGAAAGGTCGATGCAGTGGTTTGTGACCGTGTCGTTGGGAGGGAACAACATGACTTCATAGTTCTTTTCTTTGCAACTTAAGAAATTTAAAGCCATCCAGTCCCTGATGTCAGCCAGGCAGTCGAGCAGAGGTTGAATAGAGCATGTTCTATTGTGTCTTAGGGGTAAGTAAATTTGACAGTCATTGGCGTAGAAGTGAAACGGTATGTTGTGTTTCTGGAAAATAGCACCAAGCGGCAGCAGGTATAGAGAGAATAGGAGGGGACCCAGGATGGACCCCTGCGGAACCCCCCATTTAAGCTCTGCTGCTGCAGAACTAAAATCCTTGATGGAGACACAAAAGGATCTGTCAGCGAGGTAGGATCTGAACCAATTGAGGGCTGACCCTGTGATGCCCACCCACTGCTCCAACCTAGCAATGAGGATCTCATGGTCGATGGCTGTAAGGTCAAATAGGACAAGCAGCACAGAATCGCCAGTATCTGTTGATAAGATGATGTCATTAAAAACCTTCAGTAGGACAGTTTCAGTGCTATGGAGAGGTTTAAAGCCAGATTGGAATAGATCTAAGATAGAGGGACCCTGCAGGAAGCACTTCAACTGGGACTCAACTATTTTCTCCAGTAGTTTAGAAACAAATGGGAGTCTGGAGACAGGCCGGAAGTTGGAAACGACTGAGGGGTCAAGGTATTTTTTTTTAGGAAAGGCTGGACAGCAGCATGTTTAAAGGTTTTTGGCACCATGCCAGTGGATAAACTACTGTTTACTATATCAAGAATGGACGGACCTAGAGTAGAAAAAACCTCCTTTAGTAGTCGAGGGGAGACCACATCAAAGGGGGAACCACAAGGTTTCAAGCTGCACATGACCTGTTCTAGAGAAGATAGTGATGGGTTCAAAATGGTCAAATGGAGCTACAGATTGAGGTGGGATGGATGGGTCATGAGTTGGAGGGGAAATGAGAGCCCGGGTGGTTGCAATTTTTTCCAGAAAGAAATGTAGGAAGTTCTCACACAGCTCAGTCGAGGCTTCCAGAGGTGATGGTTCAGTGAGGTGGAGAATAGAGTTTAGGGTAGAAAAAGGACACGTGGGTTGTGAGAGTTTGGGGTAATTATATCAGAGAAGTATTTGGATTTAGCAGTTTTACTGCTTTCTGATAACGGCACCAACTCTCTTTCAGTATTTGAAAAGAGACCTACAGCCTGTCTTTCCTGCATTTGTGCTCCGCCCTCCTGCATTGCTGCCTAACGGCCTTGGTGACATCATTCAGCCAAGGTTCTGCTCTGAGTTTTGATTTTTTTAGTTTTAACAGGAGCGACATGATCCATAGTCTTTAAGCAGACAAAGTTGAACTGGGATGTCAGCTCCTAAGTGGTAGCGAGAAACACCGGGGGCTGAATTACTATTTCAGAGTTTTAAGCATCTGTGAAACGTGTGGCAGTGAAGTGGTTAATGGTCCGGCTACTACATGCAGGAACGCACGGCTTAGGAATTAGATTGGGGAGGGTGAACTCAAACCTGACTGGCATGTGGTCTGAACAAACATAATCACCAATTTCAAGATTACTAAAAGTCACATCACGAGTTAAAACAAGGTCCAGTCTATGTCCACACTCTTGGGTGGGACCGTTTACATGCTGAGTTAGATTGAATGAGTCCAATAAATCTAAAAGGTCCTTAACCAAGGGCTACTCCTGACAGCCCACATGCAAATTAAAGTCCCCAATAATGAAAACATGCTCATATTTTGGTGTGATTTCAGCCAAGAAATCAGAAAACTCATTTATGAAATCCTTAGATCGAGGTGGGTGGTAGACGAGCGCACATAAAGTCGACGGCGAATGGCCGAGTTCAAAGACGCTCAGCTCAAAGCTGGTGCGGGAAACTGGGATAGGCAGCTGTTTACAGTCAAAAGTTGGTTTGAATATTGTTAATAATCCACCACCGCACTGGCCTGATGGCCGCAGTGTGTTAAAATACAGACAGTTCGGTGGCAATAATTCCGTCAAGTCGCTGGACTCACCCGGAGACATCCAAGTCTCTATGATGCAGAGAAAGTCCAAATCGTGCTCTTGAAAGTAATCCCTGAGGATAAGTTTTGTTGGTAACAGATCTTGCGTTGACCAAACACATCCGGATACTGTCCAAAGTGGACCCAACAGCAGTGGAGTCCGGGCACGCCGGAAGCTGGCGATGGAAACCATGACCACCAGCTGGAGAGGAAGATGCAGCGCGCAGGGCTTTAAGCTTTACCAGCTGCCCAGCCCGTTTTCCCCGGCATCTGTAGCGATATCTCCGGGCAGGCAGTGAGGAGCGCAGCGGAGGTAAACAGGCATGTCACATATCACCAATTAAAGTGGCATTACGATAATTATCCTGGTTAAAGATTCATGAGTCTAACAGCCTCAGGGTAGAAGCTGTTCCTCAGTCTAGTGGTTCTACACTTAATGCTCCTCAACCTCCTGCCTGAGGGGAATGGGGCAAAAAGTGTGTGTGCTGGGTGAGTGGGGTCCTTCATGATGCAGGTAGGGGTGGGTACCTTTCTAAAAAAAAATCAGTACCGGTACCAGTGTCGGTATCTTCACTTCGGTGTCGGTTCCTGGACGATTCTTTTTTCGGTACAAAATTTGTAATTACTATTAATTCTAACAAAAAGAAAATTATGTTACACATTATAGTACAAATTGTGAGTTTTATTTTTTAACTTTGGTATTTTTCTATGCCAAGCAGTTTTCTTACATAAAAATAAACAAATAATTTTCAGGTCAAAAGAACAGTTTCAAACCAGTGACATGTCAGTGTCTAATGCTCACTGCTACACACTGAGGACCTTTTCACTGAACAGTTTTTATTCAGAAACATCAACATGTCTGTTTTCTCTGGACACAAACAAGATGCTCCTGGCTGATGGTGTCTCCAGCAGTAGAACATGTTCACTCTGAGGCTGTAGATGATGCTTGTTGCACACACAGATACCTGGTTGTCAGTTTGACATATTGTCCCTCACATTCCACCAGCAGGTCACTGGATTCAATGAGGTAGGGTTGATGCAGACTTCTGCACCTCTGTATCTCTGCCTGAATCTTCTCTGTGAT